ACACGACGCAGAAAGGAATGTTCCGTAACTTCCTTTCACTGCTTTTAACTCCATATATGCCGTCGACGATAGTTCGAGGAGTAGAAAATTCAACCGAATCAAAGGAATACACTACGAGGGACATTTAGATTATTTAAATTCAATGTATTCTTTAGCAGCCGTTGCGCAATCCTCCGCTCGTAACTTTCTAGGAACGTTACGTCGCTGGGAAATTGCAATAATTATATCACTAGCAGTAAATGCACTTTTGAACTTCAGGTAATATGTATCCGGCACGGGAAAAGTTTTGTAATTTAAATTATATATTTGTGACTGCATAAAACTTTGAAACATTAATATAAATTACGGAACTCTTGAAAATAAAAATAAATATACGGATTGTACAAATAGAAAAAAATTATCATGCATTTACTCGTAGCTACAGAGAACTTTGATTCCACCGATGCAATTACGATTTTGTTTCATATTTTAACGTAGAACAGATTTGAATTTGCTCGTGAAATATGTCCCGAAAAAAAACCAGATTGTTTATTTTGCCGACTGTAATTTTACTCTCCTGAAAACTTTTTGAAATTAATTCGACAATTTATTAAATATTCCTTGATTAAATTTAAAAAAAAAACATTGGAACGTTATGTAAAGAATCTTTATTAGACCAAACAAACAAACGAGACAAACATGAATGGAGTAACTTGCTTTCATGAACGCGAACGACATCGTGATTTCATGTTTGCGCTTATTTGCTTAATTTGACTCTGACTTAACGTAAATACCGAATGTGTCGTGTGTTTCCTGTCATGTGTACATTAATTAGCTATTCAAAGTCCTTAATGAAGCTCAATACATCTGCGAATATCTATCAAAACACCTTCTTACGACTTGGAGTCTGTGCAAAATGGAAGAAATATTAGGAACAAGTGGAAATATCAAATATTAGAAATAAAAAATTAGGATACTTAGGTATATCTTATATTTTATTGGTATCCATTGTATGTACGTTTAATTTTTATTTCTCTCTCTCTCTAATTTTTGAGAAATTTATTTATTAGATAAACACGAACTATAGAAATCAATGCCTTAAATGGGCTAGCTAGATCTTAAATGCTTGTATGATTCTGGGTGAATTTATTATGGGTCTTAAAATGGGTAGTTTAGTAGAGTTAGCGTTTCTCTCTCTCAAGATCGAAAAATCATTTCGACGCGCGTTTCAAAGGACTACATATATAGTATGTATATAAATTCACACAGAATTATACAAGCATTTAAGATCCAGCTAGACCGTTTAAGGCATTGATTTTCATAGTTTGTGTTATCACATATACGATCCTATAATATATTATATTGTTTATTTATTAGATGTTAAGTTTATCAGAATTTTTTATTTATTTATTATAGAGATAAAGAATTACGAGAAAAATTTGTGTGAATAGAAAGGTAACGCACAATGGATACAAATCAGATGTAAAACATATTTATATCATATTACATTTTATTTGTATCCACTGTACGTTACATTTCTGTATTTATTTTCTAACTTTTTATTTCTAATATGTTTGGATGTATTTGACATACAGTCCCTACCAAAAGTTTGGAGTTAAAAGTTTGGTGTTAATATTTACACTTTTTATGTAAAAATAAATAAACTGTATAGATACGAAACAGTTGTATGAATAACACCGCATTTTTATTCAATGATATCGTTTTTTAGTTTATTTACTGTGTGCATTTGTTATTATTTTTTATTACTATAACAATATTTTAACTTAAAAACTGATAACAAAAATCTCGACCTTTTTGGAAAAATTCTTTAAGTGTTCGAGACGATTTATACAAAGTTTCATTGCAATTCACTGATTAGTTAATCTGAAACAAATAAATACGAAAAATTTTACGTATTTGTTTATTTACGGAATAAATAATCAGTGAATCTCTTTCTCTCGCAATGAAACTTTACCTAAATCATTTCGAATGCTTAAAAACTTTCATAAAAGTTGAGACATTTGTTATAATTCTTCAAGTTGAAATATGTATTATAAAAATAAAAACAATAATAAATAAATATATATATATTTATTATATATATAGTAAATAGTAAAGGCTTTTATAAGGGTTAGTTAAATAATGTAGGACAAATAGAGAGATAGGAAATAGGAAGGATAGACAAACGAGAAGTAAGCAAAAGGTATGGATGAATGAGTTAAGGAAAATTGTAAACCAAGTCCCCTTCTTGGCTTGCAAATATGCTGAAGTGAATTTTCTATTCTATTTTATATGTACAGTAAATGAACTACAAAAAGGTATTGTTGATTAAAAACACTCATATTTGTACATACATAATTGTTAGGTATATATATACATATATATATATATATATAGTTTTCAATTTATTTTTATATGGAAAGTGCAAAATATGAACGTATTTTTAACTTCAAACTGTTGATAGAAATTATATCAAATACATCCTTAATATTGTGATTTTTCTGTTCTTAATATTTCTCCACTTGCACACGCTCTCTTTTATCAAAAGGTCATTGTGATAAGTGACTCGAGACAATTTGTGCCACAGCGATGACATGATGAAACAATGAAATTAACGCTACATTTCACGGGGTATCCTCTGTTTCGCGTCCTGAGGGT